CCCTCCGCCTATCGAGGTCGAGGGGATAGAGGAATGGGAGGTGGAGGATATTCTGGATTCCCGATTCGACCGCCGCGGACGAGGAGGTCGCTCCCGCCTGAAGTACTTAGTGAAGTGGGCTGGCTACGACGAGCCAACTGAGGTCCCCGCCAGCCACCTAGAAAATGCCCAAGAGATCGTCAACAACTTCCACCGCCGTTACCCTGCCAAGCCAAGGTAATCGCGTCGACAGAGCTCCGCCTAGAGAGGGGAGTACTGTCACGGCGCTGGCTGAGTGGCCGGCGCGCGATCGTCTGATTGGCTGCCGACAGAATCCGGGTGAGGGTCCGAGCACCCGGATTCTGCAAAACCGCCGCAACTTCACTAGTGTAGCTCTTCGAGCTACGTCCTGTCTTCTACTCTATACTACCTGTAGTGAGAGCCTGTTGATTAGCTGTAGCAATAGAACCTGTACACGCGCCTGTCCTCTCTGCCCGTGAGCCCGTACCGTGACAGAAAGTACAATTTAAGTAACTACAATGGGAGTGAATAATAAAATAAATCTATCCTTATATCCTCATTGCTTCTAGTCCTGTCCTCCTTGACCTCCTATCTTGGCGGGAGGTTTGGGAGGACGTTGGCCTCCCTTCGTACAACGGCCTCCCGGAGGCCATGTCTTGGCGGGATGTTAAGTCACGTGATCCTCGCCCCGCGATGATCAACCTTCCCGTCAGGATCCCTAGTGGTTTCCCAACCCTTCATCGTCAGACCCAGGGAGAGGATCCTTTCTGCTGTTGCTTGTAACATCCTGCCCGATTTTCCGTAGCAGTGCATCAACAGCGTACTTCTACCGACACCTAACAGACTCTACACTCTAAGCAAAAAAACAGTACGCTATAGGCTTGTAGATCCCTCCTAGACCAAGTCACCGTAATACCCCCATTACTTCTTAGACTACTTCTTCACGTTTAGGTTCTAATAGAAGAAGTAAGAGAAGTGTAACTAACACTAGTAGTTACGAAGATAGTAGTTATACACTGTCTGTAGAGGTGGAAGAGGCAAAGATAGCTAGTAGTAGAAAATAGTAATAAAGCCAAACGCTTGCCCTCTATAGCTCTTACTCTAGTAACTCAAGTAAAATACTTGACTTAAGAAACTAAACATAATTTAGTAGTAAAAACAGGGTAGATAAATCAATATAGAAGTAACCTCTTTACTAATGATTATACTAGCATAGCTCTAACTAACGCACAATAGTAATAGGACATATGATGATTACGTTGTCTCGATTGAGTGCACTTCTAGCACTATTTTCAGGCAAGTGGCAGCGGAAGCTGCAGAATCCGGGTGTAGATTGGAGCACCAGGATTCTGTGTACAGCCAATCAGAGCTTGTCGCCAAGGCTGCCTCCCAGCCCATACTGTAACAATAAAGGCTTCAGAAGGTAAAAAGTAATACTTTACCCATAAGAGACACACACTCGCATCTTCAGGAGAGACGAAGAATACAATCACCTTTTTCACCATCCATTTACTGTCCTTGATAACCCATCACAATCTGACACCAAGGTACCATTATAGTTAATCAAGGGAGTTGAAGAGAAATGACTTATTTAAAAAGCGGAGAGGGATAGAATAGATATTCAATGATTACATAGAGCTATAGAGGGAGCAGAAGACTCTATCGTGTACTCGGTGACAAATATTGCAATTGTATCATTGTAGTCTAGATCTAGGCATCTAGAGTCTGAGCTAGGCACATTTCATAGTATAGCCCTTTTTTCGATAGAAGCTCTCTATGACTCCCTTTTTCCACAACTCTACCCTGAGAGAAAACATAAATCGTGTCCGCGTCTTTGATTGTGCTTAAACGATGCGCTACAGCTACGGTCGTTCGACCTCGTTTCGCCTGATCTAAAGCACCTTGTACTACACGTTCAGACTCCGTGTCTAACGCACTTGTTGCCTCATCCAAGAAAAGTAATCGGGGATTCCGAATAAGTGCTCTTGCTATCGCAATACGCTGACGCTGTCCGCCAGACATATGTGTGCCTTTGCGACCGCAGATTGTATCGAAGCCTTCCGGAAGCGACATTATAAAATCGTAGATATTAGATTGCCGTGCCGCCTCTTCTATTTGCGCATCTGTGACTTCCGATGCAACTGCTATTGCGATGTTTTCGCGTACTGAGCCTTGATATAATACAGGTTCTTGTTGGACCAAGGAAATACTGCGTCGGTATTTTCGCGGACAGAGTTCAGGAAGTGTACGGCGGTTGCAGAATATAACACCAGAGTTTGGGTCATAGAAACGCTCTAGAAGTGCTATCATGGTGCTTTTCCCGCATCCACTGGCACCAACGAATGCTATAAAGCTTCCAGATTGAATGGTAATGTCGATGCTTTCCAAAACTTTGGTGCGTGGCCTTGAGTCATATGAGAAAGACACTTGGTCTATCTTAACGGAAGGTGGACTTCCTTCATTGGCGTCATCGAAGGGAGGCTGCAATGGATCTTCTCGGATGGTAGGAACTTGTCTGCGCAGCCAGAAAATATAATTTACAGCAAGTACAGATTTCGTAAAACTTGTTGTATAAGAGAAGAACCCTGCAGCTGCTTCCCCAGAGAATACTACTGCAATAAAAACGGTAAAAAATTGTCGCGTAGTATACTGGTGATAGCTGATGAGTCTGCCTCCATACCTGGCTATGGTCAGCAGAGGCTTTACGAAGAAATTCTCAAATTTTACCAGAATCCAAGCGCCATTGCAAGGAATGAGATAGATTGCGTAAGCGAATACCAGAACATCCTCCAAAAGAGTGTCTCCATTGACTTTTTGGCAATACCTTGTAAGCGACTACGATATGTGTCAATTATGTGCTGTTCGATCGCAAGGCTAGATACTGTACGAATAGCAGAAACAGCCTCGGAAGCCAAGGCGGCACTTTTCGAGAAACGTTTACTAGTATCCTCTTCCAGTTTGAACTCGAGTCGGATTCTGAGATATCCAAAAAATAACATGGGTAGTAAAGCTAGTGGAATATGTCAGACCTGATTCTTGTTATGAGATATAAGCTCACCTCCAACCACAACCACTAGGGCTAACTTCCAACCAATCGCTAGGGCAAGAACACAACTCGACAAGACGTTAACCAAACTAATACATGCCAGCATTATATTGAAACCTAGCAATTCCAATAGACTAGTTGGATAGGTCGATAAATTAGAAGCAAGTTCGCCGGTAGTGTTGCTCTTTTTATCAAAAAAAGCAATATCCTGTTGCAAAATCCGATCGAAAATCTCGCGCCTGTACTTTCTGGAGACACTCTGCAATTTGTTATTCAATCAAGAAATTAAAGTACTTTTCTTTGAACTTGCCTGCGCGACGACATTGCTTCCCCAACCCACAACAGCGAAGACTGCGAGGTTACCTAAAGCGATAATAAAAAACATTAAAGAGAAAAGGTTACCGCGGCGGATAGCTTCTTCTGGAGGAAGCTGGAAACATTCTACAACCCGAGAAAAAACTACAGCCTGTGCTGGATAGGTCGCTCCTGATTTGTGTCAGTTACCTTTCTCCCTATGACTAGTGCAACTCACCCCCTGCTAATGTTGCAACGCCCAAAAGGACCAACCACTTCCAGACATGACCTTGTTCTCTGAAGATCAAGTAGATGCACTTCATCAGACTATAATCATTATCATCCGCTTTAAGGGGTTCGGTTGTCGTATATGCAGAAACTTGGGCTTGCGTACGCACAAGCGCATGTGCTTCAGATTTTTGAGTATTCCTAACCTCCGCTTTCTTGTTTTCGGCTTGGCTGAGATCTTGTGCTTTCGTAAAACGAGCTGTTTCGTTTGTTAGTAAAGAGAAGAGTGAACATCCAACTAGCGGCTTACCGTACACCCCTCGCCGACACAAAAGCTCATCATGAGTACCCTGCTCGACGATCGTTCCATCTGCGATCACCACTATGTTATCCGCATTGCGAATTGTGGAAAGTCTGTGCGCGATAATAATAGTAGTTCGGCCAGTCAAAACCCGGTCGAGCGCCTGTTGAACTATCTGCTCAGCTCTGGGGTCAAGTGCGCTAGTTGCTTCGTCAAGGAGTAAAACAGCTGGGTCAGAAACGATACTACGAGCAATAGCAAGTCTCTGCTTTTCACCTCCGGATAGCATTATTGCACTTTCTCCTAAATGAGTGTCATACCCTTCAGGTAGCCTTTGAATAAAATCCTCCGCATATGCATCTTGGCATGCTTTCTTAACTAATTTCCGTTGTTCGGTTTCTGGGAGTTTTGATTTCGGTGTGCCAGATAGTCCCATCACAACATTTTCGTAAACAGTACCAGAGAACAGTACAGGCTCCTGTTGCACCAGCCGAACATTTGTTCTCAGCCAGTTGAGATTAAGATCTCGTATGTCGACACCATCAAAAGTTATGAGCCCGCTTATCGGATCATACCAGCGCTCTAAAAGTTTGTTAATATTGATTGAGAACCAGATAAGATGTGCGTTGTTGGGTTGACAAACCTAAAAGGCCAACTACAGTTGATTTTCCTGAGCCACTTGCTCCAACGAGAGCAGTGACTCGACCAGCTGGAGCCACGACGTTGAACCTTTTGAGAACAGTAATTTCGGGTCTCATAGGATAGGCGAAAGATACATCTTGGAATTTAATCTCTCCTTTCGAAGAAAACGGACGTATTCCAGATTCATCCAAAGGGTCGATGGTAGATCGTCGGTCAAGAGTCTTGAATAATGCTTCAGCAGAGGTTGCAGCTTTTGTTATGGCAACAATCTGTGGTGCCAATGTTGTCATAGTAGCAGCAGCTACTATTACTGCAAAAATAACAGTGAAAACCTTACCTATCATCCGTCAGTCTAACAATCCTCACAAGCGTGCTAGATACCTACCACTCTGGCTGATTTCTCCATTTGCATACATTCGAATTCCCTGCCAAAAAGCAAGTCCATATCCAGCATAAATACAAAAAAACTCAAAAGAGAAAAGTATTGAGTAGTTTGGTGACTTCCTCATCCCTACTTCCATAGCATCTCCTAGAAGTGCGTCGTATTTCTGAGAAAAAAAAGAGCTAAGCCAATATGCATGGGTGGTGCTTATGCTTGAGAATACCTCCTCTGTCAGTAAAGCGGCCTTTGAGTGTATCAAATGAATTTTTGCCTCGTTTCGCCCTTCAATACCCATGCATATACCTACTACTAACAGAATTGCAGGAACAATACCCATGGTGATTAATGTTAGTTTCCATTCTACTACAAAAGCAACGATGAAGGCAGTGACAAAGGTAGACATCCCTTGGATAGTCAAAGTCAATTTCTCCGAGATGCCATTGTTCACATTATTGCTTTCCGTTGTAACCTGGGTGGTGACCGAAATGGCGGGGTCAGAGTCAAAGTAGGCAATGTTCTGGCGCAGGATATGCTTGACAAGATCGATGCGAAAGGCCTTGATCGTTCGTGTCGCGGCGATAGATATACACACCTTCAATTTTTTAGCACGTGGCAATATCCAAAATCTCAACAAACATACTGAATGAATGTAAAAAAGCCCAAACTTCGCTGCGAAAAGATAGATGAAGTACAAACTATGTCTGGAATTAACTTTGATAGATAGCCATAAGAGTTGAAAAACTGCATACGTGAATTTGTTGATTTGAGAGCGAAACTCCGCAGGAGGAATTGTCTCGCTTGCAAAAGCGGTCAATGTAGTAACAAATTTGCCGAATACTAGGTCCATTAAAGGAAGAAGGGTCCCAGCTGCGATGGCAGTAACAATGGCTATCACATTGAGAAACCAGCTGATTCGGTCGGCATATCTAAATACCCGCTATTTCAAATACATTAGATCTTCTATGAATGAACAAGATTTGGTCGGGCCATTTACAAAAAAACATCCTAAGCTTCCTTTGTTCTCATCGCGGTTTGTATTATGCCCCTCAAAGAGATCTTCGCTGATTTTGTCCCCGTGATTGTTGAATCGCATTGGGGATTGGAATGATTCCTTGCTTGCCGGTGAGATATCTTGTGACATCGCAAAGACCTTCAGTACTCTATGGGATGGATGATAGTGGGCTTAAGTTGGCGTAGAGTGAAGTGTGTAAACATTAGCTAAATACATCATCAGCTATTCTCCATTGAGATATAGTTATGTGTAGACATTCGACAGATTAAGAGTCCGTTCGGTAGAACTCCGTTCTCCGTTCTCCGTTCCTCTAGCCACATTTTGGCTCCGTTCAAAAAACGGAGATGGGAGCGGCGTCGTGTTCGGTAAAACGGAGATTTCGAGATCGTGAGCAGAGACTCCGTTTTTTTAGCGTTACCATACTAAATAAACCATGTTTAGTGCTTACCTGCCCCATATTATCACCATTTTAGGTGAAACGGAACTCCGTTCAAGAGTGGTAGCGTAGTTTACAAGCGAGCGCCGCACCCCATCAACTTCACGCACCTCTTTCATCTTAATGTACAATGGCTCAACGTAGCGCTAGTAAGCTGGATTCCAATGAATCAGACGTTCAAATTGCTATCTTCTCTATTAAATCTGTTCAAATATAGAGTAATCGCAGTGCTGCTGCTACCGTGCCCCACCACCTCGTGCACGCAACCACCTTGTGCACGCACGGCCTCGCAACCACCACAACTTCAACCCCTTATGTCTCCACCAATATGAGTAATATTAAGACTGCGCTTGCAGCTATTGAGTCTCTAGAGCCTGTGCAGCCCTTTACGTATACTAATACAGTGGGGTGACAAAAAAACGTAGTAAAAAAAGTTGTTATTTTTAAAAGGTTATTACTCAGCAGCTGGAGTAGCTATAGATGTAAGAGTTAGTGCATTTAACAGCCAAAAACTTCTAGTTTTTTCTGTGGGTGTCAAGTGATAGCTCACTATAGTTCCAGGAAGATCTATAATAACTTAAAGATTAAGAAAAATTTCGAAAATTTGGAACTTCTATAACTCTATAGTTCTTAGTATAAGCTAGTCTCTTTTTAGCTCTAGAGGCGTTTAAAATCTATTTTTTAGAATAGATATTAACTATTCAGCCTTAATTCTTAAGAGCCCTTTGAAGCGTCCTAGAAGAAATATCTAAACTGTTTTCTCTTATTAAACGCTTCTTTTACTTCTTAGGACTTCTAATACTATCTCTATTAATAGCTATTAGAGCTCTAATAGATATAATAGGCAGATTAAAATAACCGCGCGCGCAGCTACTCGCGCCGTCCACTTAACTAAAAGGTTAGTATAAGATAATAAGCTTATCTTATTGTTATAGTAGCTAGATATATATACTTAGAATTAGCGGGCCCCGCGTACTACGCTAATCGCTTACTTAGTATAGCTAAGTTATTAAGGGTATAGCCCATTACAGTAGATACCTTGGAAACCCTGCCCCTACTAGCTTTTTCTTAGTTAAAATATCTTATTTTCTTTTTTTTAATTCAGTATTTAGCGTTATAAATAGCATAGGGGCTTTTATTAAAGTATTTAACGTGGTTCACAAGCGAGCGCGCTACTTTGCACCAACGCGTCGACGTCGACACTATAACACGTTATGTCTTAACAACGCACCACTTAAACTTTATATACTAAAGTAGATCTTTAACTTACTCTTTCTAATTATTAATCTAAGCGTATTTAAAGTTAAAGACGTGCTGCCTCTACTTATAACGTCCCACGAAGAACACTTTAACGTAGACGCGCTAGAACACGCTTTTAACGCGACTGCGAAGCTAACTCTAAACGTTTTAATAAGCTAGAAGAGGAGGCTATAGTTAGACGTATTCTTAAAGAGTCTACGCGAGAATTTGCCTCTATAAAGGCTAACGTTCGCGTAATAGCTAATAAACTTTTATATAAGCGGGAGAGTAACCCTATTAGCAAGAACTAGGTCGATAACTTTATTAAGAGAACCCCTGAGCTCCGTACGCGCTGGAGCCGTTCCTACGATCACCAGCGAGCTATCTGTAAGAACCTAGTAGCTATCTAGCACTAGTTTAATCTAGTTAAGATAATAAAGCAGAAGTAGGGTATTATAGACGATAATATCTATAACTTTAATAAAACTAGCTTTATAATAGGTAAGATTTTATTATAGCTAGTTATTATAGTATCTAAAGAATATAGTAAAAAGAAGCGGATATAGCTAGACAACTAGGAGTGGGTTACTATAATCCAAGACGTAGGCGCGTTAGGTCGCTAGCTACTACCCTTCGTCGTCTTTACAGGCAAGGTGCTTATTAACGTCTAGTTTAAGAACCTACCTACTAATTAGGTTCTTAAAGTTAGTTCTAACGGCTAGATAAATAATTAGCTTACTCTTACGTGGTTAGAGCACTTTAATACCTATATAAAGAGGCATACTATAGATAGATATTAACTACTTATTATCAACGGCCATAAGAGCTACTACTCTATTAAATTTTAAGATCTTTATAAGAAGAAGAATATTTTTCTTCTCTATATACCTACACACTCGTCTTACCTATTACAGCCCCTTAACGTCGCCTACTTCTCGCCGTTAAAGCGTAAGTACGGCGACACTATTTTAGGCTTAGTACGCAACCGCACTAACTATATCAGCAAGAAGACCTTCCTGCCAGCCTTTAAGGCTGCTTTTGAGTAGTCTATTATAAAGGAGAATATCCAAGCTAGCTTTAGAGCAGCTAGTCTAGTTCTATACGATCTATAGGCTGTGCTATCGAAGCTTAATATAGTAGTATAGACGCTAAAATAATCACCATAACAGGTAGCTATCTAGGAGACTTAGACGCCGCACAATGCGCGCGAAGTTAAGGCTTAAAGTACTCTTATTTAATAGAAAGTAAGAAACCGCCCTAGGTCTTCTGCATGTTCTCTTAATAAAAAGGTTACTTAGTTAAGTAAAGGGGCTTAGTAAATAGTATATAAGATAGTGTTAATAATAGAGAAGATAAGCAGCCTTTAAGAGGCTTTAGACGTAGTAAATAAGTGAAAGAGCTATAAGCGGCAATACGTATAGATAGAAGAGACTCTTACTATTAGTAAAGTACAAGAAGTATTAGCCAAACAGGCGGGTAGTAGTCGTAGTAATAGGGAAAGTGCGTTAAAGAGGGTGCGAGGAGAGAGGCAGTGCAGGCGTTGTAAGGAGACTGGGCACAACGCGCGCACCTGCAAAGTAGAAATCGATAGTACTAGTAATAGCGATAGATCTAAGAAGTAATTTAGCTTATTACGATTTTTAATATACTATATTAAAAGGCTGTGATAATATTGCGACGTTAACGCGTTGGTGTAAAGTGGCGCGCTCGCTTAGGTGGCGCGCTCGCTTGTGAACCACGTTAATAATATTTACTAGTAGTACTTTTAACTCTAGTAACCTATTAAGTTACGATTCGAAATTTAATAATTTTGCGTATATAAGAGAATAATTTAGTTCTAAGTTTCTAAGAGAGAAAAGATATTAATATATACTATAATATTACTAATCGCTGAGTAATCTAGAGTTTATATAAGTAGTACCTAAAAATGACTATTGTTTATTCTACATATTTAACATATAAATTATTATAATTAAGATACTTCTATAATCACCTAGTAGGTGTATTACTAATATATTTAAACTTATATTGAAAAAGTTGAAATTTGCAGCGCGAAATTTAGCGCTAAAGTTAGAAGATTTTTTACTCTAGGTTTAAGAGGATATTCAGGCTTTCTAGTGCTAACTAAGCACTTATATAAGACCGCCATCCTAAACCCCAAGAGATTTTCTATGCAACGATATATTTATTATTTATTTAGCGCTAATACTCATTAATGTTGAAATAAGGAGGGTGCTACTTGTTCTATAGCTAGCTCAGAGGTAGAGTCGTCTACTTGTCTAGCGATAGACTCAGAGGTAGCGAATCGATAGGTTCTAGGATGAAAAGAGAGAAATAATGCTAGGGGAGAGAGATAAGGATTGGATTGATCTGATCTAGTAGTCTGATCTGTTCTTGTAATCTGCTCTGCTTTCTATCTAGTATTCTTATCACTAGTATTTATACTAGTAGCGATAGATTACGTTGTATACACGTAATCTTTATTTATCTCTTACGCTACTAATACACTCGTGATACACTAGTAGTATGATGGTATAGATCGCTAGGGTATAGCGATCTAGTCGATTGATAGATCGATCTTATCAGAGATTAGCTGAGTAGCTTATATCTCTAACAATTAAGCAATGGATGTTTAAAAAATACAACTTTTTGGAGTTCTCTTTTTTTATCACCCCACTGTACATATCTTAACTCACTAACGTATCTGTATAGCGAGTGGCTCAGTATAGCGAGTGGCTCACGGTGCTAAGACTACACTAAAATCACGACTATTACATGACTATTACAATATAATAATAATAGTAAAGAGAAATCGTAATAAGCTATTTTACTTAAAATTATCTTTTATATCTTACTTATATATACGCGAGTTATGTCTTATCTTACTACAGCGTTTATAGTGCCTTTACGACGGCTCGCTTACCTTAACGCGCACTCTCTTCTTTACCTTCTTCCTATCACTACGCGCCCTAAACTCTCTTAGAGTTACTAATCACTCTCTCTCTTCTATAGTTAGGGTCTCTCCCTTCTATACTTACTTTCTTTTATATAATCTTCGTTATATAGCGGCTTAATTAGCTGCCTTAAGCTTAGAGACGTGTTTTTACGCTAACACTAGCTTCTGCGTAATAATCGCAGCGCCTTTAGCTAGCTTTTTAAAAGTAACTACTATACTTAATAGTAAGCTATCTATATACCTCTAAATTCTCTACTTTACTAGCGTTAATTGCGACCCTAATTCTAGGGTATTACTTAGAGTTTACAACAGCTAGAGTAGATCTTCTATAGTAGGTAGTAAGAGCGTGCGTAGCTTAGTATTAAGCTTTAATATCACTACCTCTAGGTCGTGTAGAACTAAGCTAGCGCCTTAAAAGCCTCCTATAATATTATCCTTTATAATAGTCTTATAATAGGCTAGCTAAAAGGCTAGTAGAAACTCTATCTTAGTAATATAGTTAATTCTATTACGTATTATTGTTACACGGGGTATGGGTCTATACTTCTCTATCCTGGTCCGCACTAAGGCAGGTGAGTATTACGTTAGTGTTCCGTGAGGCTTGTCTGGCGATGCAGTGGAGTTGGCGTGCTTAAGGAGGGTTTGACAAGACTAATCTATTTGATAGACTAATTTGTGACAATCTTGTTAAGTAAAGATACTAGTAAGAAAGTACAATTTAAGTTGACTATAACGAGAGTAATAATGAAATCCATCCATCCTTATATCCTCATTGCTTCCGGTCCTGTCCTCCCGACATCCCATCTTGGCGGGAGGTTTGGGAGGACGTTGGCTTCCCTTTATGCAATGGCCTCCCGGAGGCCATGCCTTGGCGGGATGCCAAGTCACGTGATCGACGCCCCGCGTTGATCATTACCTTCTGACGTGGACGTCCCTAGGCCTTCAGCCATCTCGTCATTTGTCAAGGAGAGAATCCTTCTTGTTACTTGTAACAATTATATCCTTAGCTTAGCGCCTATACGCCCTCTTTAAAGGCGAAAAACAGCCTATATTAAGTGGCTATAGTAGGTGGGATAAGTGTGGGGGCATATAGAGAGTAATAATCTTTACCTCTATATAGTATTACTAGAACTTAATAGAGTTATAGCTCTTATAATCATTAAGAATAAGTAGACGATAGACTCTAATAGTGCGCTCTTTTATATACTTATTAAAGTGCTCTAGCCACTTTATACTAAGCTTATTCGTTATTTAGCTATTCTTAGAGACTCTAATAACCTAATCCTTAGGTAGGCTTTCTTCCTTATACTAGATAGAGAGGTAGTGCTTACCTTAAAAGATAATAAAGAGTAGAATTGCCTAGCTAGCTGCGCTAACATAAACCACGCTAGTAACCTACTCTTTATTGCCCTACTATAAAGATTTCGGCTTTAATTGACGCTTAGAGGCTATAACTACTACTAACGCGTTATATATGCCTATTATAAAGCCCGTCTTATTAAAATTATATATATTATTATCTTAGATACTATACTTAGCTTTAGTATTCTATGCTAGGCGGAACTAGCCCTATATAAGCTTAGGATCTTTATAGAGGGCTCTCCTATAATTATACTTTTAATTAAACTTTATTTTAAGCTCTAGCTAACGCTTTATAAATACTCTAGGCTAGTTTAGGCTAATAGGGTCGTAGTAGTGGGCAGCTAGCAAAGAATTAGCTAGATCTTTAATAGCAGGAAGGTACAGTGGATATCCTCGCGCGTTAAGGTCTAGTATATAGTTAACAATTATCTCCTCTTCTATTATAAGCAGCTTTATTAAGTTAGGCGAGTAATCTTGTCGAGAGGGCTTCTCTGCGCGTTGATTGCTAATTAATCTTTAAGGTACGTAATAGAGAGCTGTAGTACGCCGTTAAGTTAATATCGCGTCTTTTTTAATTACTTTAAGTGCAAGTTGTAATCGGGCTTCTTTAACAGCTAGAGTATCACTTAGTTGTTAAGACATCGCGTGCAATAGTCATGTAATGGGGGAAGTTGATGGGGTCTTGGCACCGTGAGCCACTCGCTATACTGAGCCACTCGCTATACAGATACGTTATAATAAAGTCTTACTTATCATAAATCTAGTGTTATTAAAGTTAAAGATGTCTTTATTTATGTATAATACTCTACTTTGCCTTTATATTCTATACTAACTCAAACTTGCTGTAAATGAACGCTAGGTTTTTATAGAGAGGTTGCTAGTAATTATATAGATAGCTCTAGCGCGCACGTAGCTTAGAATTGCGCTAGATTAGCCTATTAACCTAGTTCTAACTGTTGGAATAAGGAGGGTACTACTTGTTCTATAGCTAGCTCAGAGGTAGAGTCGTCTACTTGTCTAGCGATAGACTCAGAGGTAGCGAATCGATAGGTTCTAGGGTGAAAAGAAATGAATGCTAGGGAAGAGAGATTGAAGAATGAGATTGATCCGATCTTGTCTTATTATCTGCTCTGTGTAATCCACTCTTATAATCTGCTCTCTATCTAGTATTCCTATTACTAGTATTTATACTAGCTAGTAGCTATGGATTACATTATATACACGTAATCTTTATTTATCTCTTACGCTACTAATACGCTCGTGATACACTAGTAGTATGATAGTATAGATCGCTAGGGTATAGCGATCTAATTGATAGATCGATCTTATTAGAGAGTAGCTGAGTAGCTTAGATCTCTAACACTAACTAACCTTCTCCCCGCTACGCTCTTACAGGAGTCTATTAGCTATATCTCGTACGTAGTCTCTTCTATTAAGTAGTTCTTACTTAGCCTTAACATTATTATATGCTAAGCAATAACCTTCTCTTCTAGTTTTATTAGGCGTTTATAGTTAGACTCGCAATTACGTTAGGAGTGCTTCCCATTGCGTTATCAACGTATTGTTGTTTATAGTAGTTTGTATACTTTTTTAGCGCATTAAATACTTTTAATTTAATTTCTACTAAGCTTAGAGACTACTAGATAAATTTTAGCTTTAGTATAGCTTCTACGAGGTTGTGGTTGTTGAGACAACACGCGTTATTGTTAGGACGTTGTTTTGGTGGGGAGACTGCGCCGCTCGGTGAGGTGCGCCGCTAGATGTTGAAACACGTTAATAATAATAATAATAGTTAATATTGTGAGAAAAAGAGCATAATTTAGGTGGTTGACAGAATCCGGGTGCTGACTAGAGCACCCGGATTCTGTGATCAGTCAGCGCGCACGATCCACCGCGATCTAACTCAGGGAATCAGGGCAGATCAGAACAGGACACGAACACACAGACAAGAATCAATCAATAATCGCAGTTATTTATCACAGTTTGATTCCGTCTTCGATAACTTATCACAATCTGAAAAATATAAGTACATCCTGGTTCGTTACGGGGATCCTAATTGAAGTATCCGAGAGACTATATACCTAACTCAGGAGCTTGGCAATGACAGGCTTTTCGCTACAGAGGTTTCATACGAAGGGATGGTAATCGGCACAGACCGTACTAAAATAGATAGCTTTTTGTCACATCGCTGCGACAATTGATGGCAAGCCTGACATATCATGAAATAGGCCTGAGAAAAGATCCGAGATTAACCCATTGAACCGGCGTTCAACCTTAATGAAGTATTAACGTGGTATACTTGGTAAGCATTATGTGGTGCCGGCAAGACCCACGTCACTCAAGCTTACAGGGTATAGCCACGCCCAACGATATGCCTAGCGCATGAACTATTTTCTTACCACAGAAGCGGTAAAGGTTGCGAAGTTCCGGGACTAATTTCGGTAAAACTATATCTTTTACTCCAGGGGTAACATTGGACATGTGAATACTTGTTAGGGATCGGCTGTACAAACTGGGTAGCCGACTTCAGTACCTACGGAACATGGATGGAAACCTAGTACCAAGGTATCGAACAAATGTAATTTATAATCTCGAAAGCATATATAAACTCAGGGCTTGTATACAACCAAATATCCTTATATGTAGGCTTGAATTGTATCTTTATAAATCCAGCACTCATGTTTCACTCATTACCTGCCGTCCCCAAGGGCATTCCCAATGGTCACACAAAACTCCAAGAAGTGACATCAGAGACATCAATGGACGATATATTCAAGTATTTGAAGGATGACGGAGGTGTCATTATCAAAGGCATACTGCGGCCTACACAAGTCGATCAGCTTCATACTGAGCTTAGACCACTATTGGAAAAATTCCAACGGGGCTCGACTAGCGATATCGAGCCATTGCAAGCTTTCCATGGAAAGGTCACTAAACGTGCAGGTGGCCTTACGAATATCAGTGCTGTCTTTCGAGACCACCTATTGGACAACGACTTTATACACGCTATCGCTGCGCGCGGTTTCGGTCAAGGCGGGCGGCCTGGAGTAGATGCGTATTGGATTAGCAGTGCCAACACTATCAACGTCGGCCCCGGTCAAGTTGCACAAGTCCTCCATCGCGATTTGGGCAACTACCCACCCTACTATCTGCTTGGACCCGAAGGCCCTGAATCACAACTGACCTTTCTCATCGCGACTACCGATTTCACTGACGCTAATGGTGCTACTCGAATCATTCCTGGAAGTAACAACTGGTCCTTTGATTTGGAATGGGAAACTTCTCAATCTATTCCAAGTGAGATGGAAGCAGGTGACTGCCTTCTCTTTGGAGGCAAAGTAATTCATGGAACAGGTGCTAACACAACTGACGCTGAGCGCAGTTGTGTAGCATTCACATTTTGCGCGAACTACCTAACGCCAGAGGAAGCGCACCCGCATATTGTAGATCGCAATATTGTAGGGAAGCTTTCGAAGCGTGCCCAGCGCAGTCTGGGCTTCCGGTCTCAGTATCCGCCAAACTCTCCTGGTCTGTGGATGGAGGGTTACAATGAAATAGGATTACGTCTTGGCCTTGGTCCCTAGAGGCCAGATACTTTTACGAATGGTGTTGATTTTAAATATCTATCGTATAAGTAACTTGTGATTAAGATTAAAGAGCAAGAACAGTTGTTTTACTTAGTAGAGGACTATGTTTCACATAGCACATCAACGAACAGTTCTCAAATATGATTGTGTTTTACGCCTTTGTGCAAGATGGTATCTGGAAAGAAATGATCGTCTATATTTTGTGTTTGTACTATCTGCTATCTTCATCTATTTACATATAACTATCGTATAACTAGCTATTTCATTTTATTGTAAAAAGAGTGCATCAGTGTTACACGGGGTTGGGCTATACTTCTCTAGTTTCGGTCCGGGTTAGGGCGAGATAGCTGTGAGCGGTAGGCCGTGCGGTTGCCTAGTGTCAGGTGGGAAAGAGTTATAAGATTCAACCAAAAGGATAACCAGTTTCTATTAGTATAGAAACAACTAAGTAACAATCTTGTTAAGTAAAGCGACTTGTAAGAAGTACAATTTGAGTTGACCACAACGAGAGTACATAATGAAATTTATCCATCCTTGTATCCTCATTGCTTCAGGTCCTGCCATCAATAATGGCAGAGCCTTGGTATGATAGTAATCACGTGATCAGCGCCCCACGGTGATCATCACCTTCTGACGTGGACGCCCGTTGGCCTTCAGCCATCCTGTCCTCCGTCAAGGAGAGAATCCTTCTTGTTACTTGTAACAACTTAGTGGAAATGACTTGATCCTAGTAAGTAATTTGGCTGTAATGTCGAGTACATCCAGACTAATCGTGACACCGTATCTCGTGATCGCTCGCAGCGGTATTTGACGTTTTTCCATGATGATCCTAAGTCACAAATATATAGAAAAACGAGTAGTTTTTCCTCCACCGTCGCATGCCCATCTCGAAGGGCTATCTCGTGCAATCGACTAGCTAATGACTTAAAAACTAGCCAGCGTAGTCGTGCCTTAGTAAATAACTGCGTATCGTCACTTAAGCAATTAGCGAGCTAGCGCGCGCTGTGGTGGTCTCGTATACCTAATGGCGGTAGGCTAGGACATATTAATAACTGAGGTGGTAGCTACTGTGTTACAAGTAACAGCAGGAAGGATCCTCTCCCTAGGTATGACGATGAATGGTTGGGAAACTACTAGGGATCCTAACGGGTAGAATGATCATCGCGGGGCGAAGATTACGTGATTAGTATCTCGCTAAGATGTCAGATTTGATGGGTCTTCAATCATGGGGTCAAGAAAGCAGGTGTTCATTGTTGCTATCTCCTGAGGTGTCGCCCTTTTGTGGCTTTTTCTTTTCTTTTGCTTCCTTGGCCTTATGCATGGGCCTCAACTAAAGCCTTATTTCTAACAAACCCCCTCAGCTTTGAACCGCTTCGAAGCTGGCGTATTATCTTCGTCCGCCTTAACAGCTTCTTCAATACAGCTTTCCATTTCATTCACCTGAAGTGTCCTGGGTGATACCTGGCGTCTCTCAACAAGTCCTAATTGGTTAAGAAAGTTTTCCCATTTATTCGCTGGCAGGGCCTTTGTTAGTCCATCGGCGAGCATATAATCTGTTAGAACATGCTTCACTATAATCTTACCGCGGGAGACTTCTTATTAGAGCCAGTGGTTGTGAATGTCCACATACCGGAGTTAAGTATATAATTTTGCGATATCCTCTTTAATAAGTCGTATAGTTTGTTTATTGTCGCAGGTAATTGTTATAGGTGCTTCTGGTAGGGAAACATGCAACTCCTTTAACAATCTAGTGAGAAACATAGCTTCCTTGGCTGTTTGCGACAGCGATAGCAGTTCGGCTTTAGTTATTAACATGATGACCGTATCCTACTTAATTAATCGCCACGCGACCAGTCCTCCGAAGAACTTAATCACATACCCTTATGAGCTTTTTCGATCTGCGGTATTGTCCGCGAAGGACGCGTCGCTAGCAACCTCTAGTCCCTCTCTGTGCCCTAGTTAAAGTGCTCTTGTCTTAGTGCCGTTCAGATAGAGTATTACTCGATCTACCGCCTTTTAATGCTCCGTACTAGAGTTGACTAGAAATTTGGCTAATCGTGAGGTTGCAAATACTACATCTAGTCTTGTTGTTACTACCGCAAAAAGTAGCAATCTAATCTTCCGTTAATATCAGTTAGTCTCTGCAGGGGTCGCTAGGTTAGAGCTTAGTAGTAGCTCTAGATTAGCTATTGGAGGGTTATGTCGAACATTAAATTATTTAGCTAGAGAGCCAACCTTTTTAATATACGCCGTCTAGGAAAGCTAAATAACTCTTTGTCTTCGATCTAGCACGATCTCAACCCCCAGGAACTATTATAGGTTGTCGCCGCCCATTAAGGTGCATTTCCCACTTAGTGACTCTACGATTCTAGATGTAGTTGTGGTATTGTTCTTAGGGTATACGAGTATAATGTCGTTAACGTAAAAGAAGATAATAACACTGTCCTTAATTGTGCAGCATGGCTTGTGTGGAACTAGGCTAAAGCCGAGGTGCGTAAGCGTTATCGTGAACTCTTTCTACTATAGTAATGGAGATATCCGTAATCCGTAGAGGGCCTTCTTAACCTTAAGTATAGTACCTAGCTTTTAGTAGCCTTTTAGCATTCTTATATGGATTTCCTAGTCTATAGTAGTATGTACGAATACATTTATAACGTCGTACTATTTTAGCTCTAGATTATTCTTAGCTGCGATTGCCATTAGAGTCTGAAATGAGTGGCTTACTAATGTTGCTATATAGGCATCTTATAAGGTGATGTTTTCCTATTAGTCCTCTTGAACTACTAAGCGTGCCTTGCATTTAAGTAAACGGTGATTTTGATCTAGTTTATAAGTGTATGCCCACATATAGTCTAGGATCTAGTGTCCTGCTTATTTAACTAGTGACGAGGGACCTTCTAACCATGACTGCATTCGCTTGTGGCCCTTAAGGTAGTCCCGCTCTACTTCCTTAAACATTTCGTAGAGAGGGTGAGTTTTTAGATCTAAGTATGCCGTTGGTGGGGGAGGCAGTTGGCTTTAATGTGGCCGTGCCTGTAACGGCGCAGGCAAGACTACTCGGATCAGTATCGGCGGTAGTGTCACTCAGAGGCATATGGGAGTGCGTGGGACATCAAACGAGCCTTGATTCGAATAGACACCTATAGGCCTTGTACGAAAGGATATCAAAAGTCTACAGAGCTAGCTACAGGGAGTGTCTCCTTATATACTTATCTTAGTCGGATCCGAATCGGATCCGACCTCACAACGAGTGGTTGATGAAGAGGGCGGCGAGTACTACCTCCGATCCGGCTCTGGGATTGGTCCGATACATGGCGAAGTTGTAACATCGTTACACTACCCCCCTCTTAGTAGACAGCTAGTCCCATAGCTGTGAGACTGTTCTTATGCCTCTCTATTGCAGTTCCTCCACGCCAGCGCGAGAGACTGTTTCGGGTGACTTTCGGCTTGTTCTATACCCACTTTTCTTTTC